CCGAACTCCCAAATCCTGTTACCCGCCAATTCCCACGGTTCTTCCCCATCGTTCTTGTTTCTGGCTTGCCTCCCTATTCGTCTGTCTGGGTCTCTGGAGTCTCTGGGGTCCCTGGGATCTCTGGGTTGTTGCTTTTGCGCTTTTTTTGCATTGGTCAAAGTCACGTTCGCCGTCGCTGATTTGCTCATCCCGCCGTCCACCGCGTCTATTATTATTGACATTATTTACTGAACTCTCTCCACATTTTGCCGCCAGTCCAGCTTCCATACCTTGGTAAGTTGGCAGCTATTTATCTTCTACAACCACGTCCCACCCTCACTACCGCCACTCCCGCGGGTTAATCCCGCCCAGCGTCCCAAGGCTTTTTCTTCTGATCTGCGGTAAGCGATGCTATTCGCACACGTCTCTCGTCCCTTTCTGTGTCCTTTCTTCCCCGTCCGGCTCGCCCGCCCGTCGCCTGCTGGGCAGAGGAAGCTTCTTTATCCTCTACCAATCAATTATCCCCCTTTCCTCCTCTCACCCCAGCGCTTCTGACGTCCTTAACCCCATATTATTGTGAATTACCTAGTTTCAGATAGAGAGCACAACTCATACTGATCATCCATATGTGATTTCAGAATATTAGAAGGGCTGTGTTTGTGTTTTATTCCTTCTCCCCCTTCCCCCCGGGGGAACATCTCCGCCTGTTCTCTTGCTGGAAAATCCACCACCGTCCGTCGCATCCGCGCATTGCCAACGGCGGTTCCGACGGGCGTTTTGAATCATTCAAATTTCAGGAAGGCAGAATCAATAATTAAGAGAGCGGTTTTGATTTTTGTAAACGCTTCCGGAGCACTACACCCACGCCCTTCATCTTGTATAACTATTTATTATTCTATTTGTTCCTTTCCTTTCTTTCCATATATAATTCCCTTTCTTTTTACTCGCTCTGCTCCAATTGACTAGAGTCTGCCTTTTTCTATTCTTGGTAAGTCTTTCTTTCACTTCTCTCTTTTTTTCCCCCCTCTTGTGAATTTCTCCGCCTGTGATGAACAATGATGTAACCTGCATCAGTTCTCACATTTGCCAACGCATTCTTCTCCCAATAATAAATCATCCTTGCCTTGCTGCATCTCGCCGCCGGCTAAAACTGACTTAATTGTTCATCACCCATCTTAGTTGACGCCTTGTCTCTTGTTGTCACTCCTAACCTTGCAGTCTCGCTCTCTTTCTTTAAAACCTCCTGCCCTAATTTTACCTGTTATTTTATTATTTTATTATTTTATTTATTATATTGAGTTCTTGCTCTCTTCATGATTGCCCCTTGACCCTGTCAGATCTCCTCCCTCCCTCTCTTGCCATTCGCTCTACCAAACCCCAGCCCCATCGATTTTGTTTAGCGATTCCCCCTCTAGTCCCCCCTTTAGCCCATTCCCCAACGTTGCACTCGCATGGCTAGTTCTTGACCTGGCCGTTTTCCCCATCTAACATCAGGATCCCAGCTCCATAACATCATCACCTTCTTTCTCCTCGACTTGGTCCTACTTGGCAAGTCCCGGCAACCCACTCTCGCCCCAGAAGTTACCCGGCTCCAGTCACCAGCTTTGGGCACCGCCTCAGATCTGACCTACCGACGTGGCAGACGCTAAACAGCCCATCAGTGCCCCGAACGAGAGAAATCCAACTGCAAAACGCGAACTTTCAGCCACCTTTTGTGCTGTCAAACGTTGAGCCTGTATTTTCTCTATTTTACATATTTTTCTTCAATTATTTTGGCGGCAACTTTTTCGTCCCGCACGTTTTTTCTCTGCTCTCCCAATTCTTATTGTCACTTGAAACTATTGTACGCCATTTTTTTCATCCCCCACACCCTAAAAGTAAAACGAGCACTGCCTAAATTCAACCAACCCGAAAAATTTAAAATTGGGAAAAAAGAAACGAGACGAAAACAAAATCGACCACCGCTGTTTGACAACACATCGTGCTCTGTCACCCACCTTACCTTTTCCCCGGTTTCCTGCATCAGAGCCCAACCACGTCTTCACTGTGATTGCCCTGTTTAACCATTGCTTAAAAAGAACAGTTTAAATCTCATTTTACCTTTTTTATACCTTTTTTTCCTTCAATCCAACATTGCCGTCGCATTGAATTTCTCGCCGTCCCATTGTCTCGAACTTGTGTGTGCGTGTGTGTATGTACATACAGCCGGCCATTTGGCGCCGAACGCTGACATTGGTCTGCTTGAACCCTCTCATTTTGACCTAAATCCAGTGACCATCCCACTGCTGCATTAGGTGTTCGACGCGACCGGAGAGGCTGCAGATTTCCCATTCCAGCGCTATCGAATCATCTCGTCGCGCTTCTTCCATCCTCCCTCCAGCATTCTTGATACTCGTCCCCCGTCCCACCCTATCCTGTCCGCCTCTGTCCTTGAACTATCCCTCGATCGGAGAGTATTCGCTGCCTTCGACTAAATCTTATTGCTTGCTGTGACTCCATTGGCGCGCTTCCGACGCTTGCCGCTAGTTTAAAGCCAGGCATAACTTGCCCTGCATCCTCAGCTCCTCCTTCTCTGGTCGATAGAAGTGTAAATAAAAAGTTAATTACTCAACTAACGCGCCATCATGGAGTATCCTCCTCAATATCAACAACCTCACAACCAGCATCCTTCACGGCGCCCTCACACATGCCAACATATCAAACCTCCCCCTCCAATGCTGGCCCGCCGGTCGGGTCTATCACATCGCCCACAAATCCTCAAGCACACATGCAACACCCTCACCAAAACCATCAATCCTCACCGATCCTGCCTTCACAGTCACATTACCAGCAGACACAGAACGCGCCCGGCCAGGTCCATCAGCAGATGAACTTTCCTCAACAGTATGCTCAGATTCCACAGTCATATGGAATCTCTCCCACTCAAGCTGCCGCCGCTGCAGCAGCCATGGCCACCGCGGCCGCTGCCGGACACAACCATACATACTATCAGCCAATGCATCAAGACTCGATGGGCGGCGCCATGCCACCGGGAGCCCGCGGCTCACCCAGATTGCCGTCTTCTCAAGTAAAAAATGATCGACATCCGCGATCCCCCCCGCAAGTCTCTGGGCAAATGCCACCACTATCCAATCAAGTCCAAATGCCCCAAAACCCGTCTATATCTCAACCGCAATCTCAACAGCATCAGCAGCAACAACAACAACAACAGCAACAACAGCAACAACAACGCCGCATGAGCCAACAAGTCAGCAGTCCACATATACAAAATTCCCAACCCACATTGAATCACAGCATGCAACGACCGCCCCCGGGACCCTCCCCCATGGCTGCTGTGCCATCCCAACACCCCCATTCTCACCCCCCACCAACCTCCACCCCCAACAAAACCAACATCCCCGAAATGGTCACGGGCGCAGGGCCGCGAAGAATCCCCCTCTACGTCAACGCCAAACAATTCCACCGCATCCCTGAAACGACGCGGCCGCCGGCAAAAACTCGAGGACAACTTC